GGCCGGCTCGAGCCCTACGGCCTGGGGTCCGGGCGGCACCTGCTCGGCGCGCAGTTTAAATGCCAGGCGGTGCCCAGGTCCGCGTGAAAGCCCCGCGCGAGTCCCTTCACCTGTGGAGGGCTGAGAGCGCAGCAGCGGTTTCGGTGGTTATCACCGTGGCGGTTAAGCGTTTCCGTGTCTGTCCTACACCAAGGGAATGAGGACAGTGTGGTAAAATCCATGTAATCTGTGGGAACTGGTCACCCTGAGTGTAGGTCTGGCTCTCGCAGCACGTTAACTGCTGATGGGAAGACCCAGGTGAAGAGCGGGGCGGGGGGTGCAGTGCTTCAGGGCAGAGCAGCCCCCTCCCGTCGGGACAGAAGGGAGGATCGGGTGGAAAACCATGGAAATTGTAGGTGAGGGGCTCCTACCCCGGAGTTAATAAGCCCTCTGCTTAGAATGAGGAAGGAACTGCTGGAGCTGGAATGACCCCCCTATGGGGAGAGAGGACTCTGGGCAGAGGGGGGACCTGGCTAGCCTCCACGTTCAGCCTTTGCTTTCCTGCAGGGCTGACCCTCTTAGTTTGGACTCTAAAACCAGATTGTTCAAGTCCACAGATCCTTATTGAACATTGTGCATTTTAGCCATGTATGCAAATAGAAGCATAGAGATCAGCAAGGATCTCAGGGGGCTTCACTGAGAGACCTCATCATCGTTGGCTGCTTTTTTCCCCTTCCTGGTTATCATCTGGGCTCTGGATCAGAAAGTTGCCCAATAGTCAAGTTACATGACTATCTGCTACTCACCGTAAACCCTTACTGACTGTTTGAATGTATGATGATGTCTTCTGTTATCCTTGTAATACTACTCCTTCATTCATTCTTTCTTTGGGACTAAAAATATGGCTGGTTCCTTTCGTGGGGCAGGGGACAGTAACTGTTAAATCATCTTCAGATATAACTTTTCATATCAGTACAACTTCTTTCCAACACATCACTTAGACCGTTCTGTTTCTCTTTCTTAAGTGATCCACTGCAGGTGTGCCAAGTGTTTCTGCTATCCTACAAAGCGAAGGATAAGAAGAAGGCCCCGACACTTGACTATCTTGAGTCTCCCAGAAGATGTACTCTTTCATATCCTGAAATGGCTTTCTGTTGGGGACATCCTTGCTGTTCGATCTGTAAGTTGCCAGGTGAAAATAGTATCATCCTTCATGTTGTTGGTCATACCATCAAGGCTTCATGGTCTTAAATGTCAGAACAGAACTTTGGCTACAAAAGAGGGCAGAGAAACAAGGATGACGTTGTTAATAGATATTTGAGGTGGTTCTGATGGTAGGAAAGCTGAAAGTAGCACACTCGTTTTAATGTTTAACAGATAAATCACTTTTATGGCAGTGAAATTTGCATCTCTTAAGAAATAAGACATTACAGGTGAAACTTTAACATTGTTTCTCAACTGTAATTGAAAAATAAATTTTTAAAATTTTTAAAAAGAATTAATATTAAAAAGAATAAAAGTGTCCTCTTGAGGACAAATCCCATGTAACATTCGGTACTGAAAGGGACTCACAGTTATTTTACAGATGTTGGAACTGCAGCCTCATTTTGAATGACTTAACCCAGGGCATATAGTAAATTAGTGGGAAAACAAGAAACCACTTCACTAATTCCCCGAGCTGCCTCTATTTGGGTTATAATATCCATGGGTGCTGAGTTTCCAATGGCAGTGGTTAGCACTTAAATTGCTAACCAGTGATCAGGGCTCCTGCCCAGAGCAGAGGCTCCAGGTCCTACCTGAGGCTGTGTCCATCTTTTTTCCAAGAGCCCCTGTTAACCCCTAGGCACCAGCCATGCTCCCACTAGCAAGACTCCAGGCAGAGCAGCACAAAACAGATTTCTGTCCTAGCTGCTCCCGTTAGACTTGGTTTCTCTGATCCTTGTAGGTATATACTCTTACAGAGGTGTCATCCCCTCTTTCTCAGTCTAGATGCTTATTTCCCCTTCCGGGACCACTGTCTCCAACTTTAGAGCCACAGAGAAACTTATTTCTGGCCTCTTCTCTAGTCAAAGCAACTGTTACTTTGAGACACAGAGAGTGAGGCCTTTACTACTGGGGTAGGGAAGGGGACAGGAGACCCTACATCTGTCTACATTCTCTCTTCAAGAGCTCCAGAGGCATGGTTCTGGGGAGGTTCCCCACCCACCCTGCTTCCGTTGTTCTGCAGGTACACTCCCATCTGAAGTACCTGGTGGACAATCATGCCAGCGTGTGGGCATGTGCCAGCTTTCAAGAGCTGTGGCCTTCTCCAAGGAACCTGAAGCTCTTTGAAAGGTATCTCTACACCCGGAGAACAGCTTGGTTTTCTCCCATCTTGGGGCCTCCCTGATATTCTAGCAAATGTCCCAAGGCCTGACCTAGGAATGATTTTCTTCTTCCTGTAGCCTCTGTCAATGCTCTATCCCCTCAAGGAAGCAACTAAGGGCAGTCAAATCTTGCCCACTGAGTCACATGACTTCCAGCACAGTCATCAGTCATCCACATCACCAGCACAGGCCTGCCTCTCATATGTCACAGTGGTGCCTCTGAAGAGTCCCTCTTGGGCTATGACCCATCCCTTGTGACTCAACTCCAAGTCACCTGTGTGTGGAAACTTTATTCAGCCCTCTTTTCTTTTGGTCAAAACCATATGATTTAAATCCTATTGCATTTTATTCACTGGCTAATCCCACCCCCCTGCTAGAGTTGAGACCCAGAGGGAGGCTCAAAGGGAGTGTGAGCCCTGAAACCTATGAACCCTAGTGTACCAACGACTAGACCCATCCACTGTCAAAGTGTGCCAGTGGTTTCAGGCAGGCCGCCTGAGACGTAATCCACAAACTATACAACTTACCCTTTTAAAATGTGCAACTTGATGGTTTTTAACATAGTCACAGTTATGCAACCATCAACACTATCTAACTTTAGAACATTCTCATTACCCCAAAATAAAACCCCGTACCCATTAGCATTCACTCCCTATTTTACCTGCAATCCCCCAAACCTTAGGCAACCACTAACCACTTTCCTTTCTCTGGATTTGCCTGTAGTGAACATATCATATAAAGAATCATACAACATGTGGCCTTTTGTGACTGGCTTCTTTCACTTAGCATATTTTTAAGGTTCATCAATGTTGTAGAATGTCATGGATAAATGATATATGACTGCCTTACCTTAAAAAGTTTCTATTCAGAAAATAAGTATTCTAGCTTCAATTGCTGTAATGGAACATAACCTTTATGAAATAAAAATCCTGTGATATTTTATGTTTTTAATGTAGGGCTGCCGAAAAAGGAAATTTTGAAGCTGCTGTGAAGCTAGGCATTGCCTACCTCTACAATGAAGGCTGTAAGTCCTTGCAGGGCTGGACCTGGCATCACCCCACTTGGTATTGATGTTTTAGAACAGATATGAGCCCTTCTCAGTATTTGTAACTTAGTTGCTCTTTTTGTTACTTATGTCTGGTGGTCTGCCTTATTGTCTCCTCCAAGGAGCTTTTTCGCAGAGGTGCCCTGCTGAGGGACCCATTGATGAAATTTGATTTTTGTAGGTTGGGAGAGTCACCTTTTATTTTAATAAATCTTTTCATTTCAGTCAGCAAAGAATGACTGACCAGAGACTCAGAATGGGGGCTACTCAGGCAGCCAGCCTTCCCCTGGCTGCCTGCCCTCTGTCCAGTTAACACCGCAACCCATGTGTAGACTCTCGCTCCTCTCCTCAGTTACAGTTCGATTGTGGAACTCTGGGGCAGTGATTAAAGCGTGCCTAATTCCATAGGATATCAATAACACAGGGAGCCAAAGTTCTAAGCAGGAGGCAAGTACAGGCAGGTCAAAGCTGGCATGGTGACTGAATTTCTTCACCCCCAGAGGTCAGGTACTCCTTGAAAGAATCTTGTGTGGCCTTCTCCCAATTCCTGCCTGTTTGCTTAGCACACCAAGGACTAGCCTGGGGTACCTCCTGTCTTGATTGCCAAAACACATAAAGACTTGCATATAGCAGCCACTTTTCTGCTTCTAAAAGATCTGGTGTCTTACTGAGATATAGCCCCTGCATGTGTTCAGTTGACAAGACTATTGTAACTGATAGAGATGATGAGCATTCCTCCTTTAGGCTGAGGAGAGCAGCAGTCCTGCCCTAACCCTCTTGTCAGGTAGCAGTTCCCAGACATAATTCACATACCATACAATTCACCGATCTAAAGTATACAACCCAGCTTGGCCGGCATGGCTCAGTGGTTGAGCACTGACCTATGATCCAGGAGATCAAGGTTCAGTTCCCAGTCAGGGCACATGCCTGGGTTTCGGGCTCAGTCCCCAGCAGGGGGCTTGCAGGAGGGAGCAGATCAATGACTCTCTCATCATTGATGTTCCTATCTCTCTCCCTCTCCCTTCCTCTCTCAATAAAGACTTTTTTTAAAAAGGAAAAAATAATAAAGTATACAACCTAGTGATTTTTAGTATATTCACAGAATTGGACAGCCATCACCACTGTCTGATTTTGGAAATTCTCATTAACCCCAAAAGAAACTTGTTAGTAGGGTGGTTGCCAGTGGTTCCCAGCAGGAGGGAGGGTGGGCATATGACACCTCCACAGAGAGCACCTTCCCAACCTTCAAAATCCAGTCTGTTATGAAGACCCAGGCAGGGGCACATGATTCACAAGGTAGGGAAAGAAAAGAAAGGAGGGCCGTTCCCGCCTCCTGCAGAGCTTTTCTAAAACACCAGCAGCTCTGCACTGCAGTGGGCTTCAGGTTTTAGACTTTCAAAAACCACGGAGAACTTTCCACATTTGTCCTCAAGACATCCCTGAATTTTGTTCTGTCCATCTCTATAGTGTCTGTGTCTGATGAGGCCCGTGCAGAAGTGAATGGCCTGAAAGCCTCTCGCTACTTTAGTCTCGCTGAGCGACTGAACGTCAGTGCTGTGCCTTTCATATGGCTCTTCATCCGGCCTCCATGGTCAGTGTCTGGAAGCTGCTGCAAGGCCGTGGTTCACGAGAGCCTCAGGGTGGAGTGCCAGCTACAAAGAGTGAGTCCTGGCAAGGGGCGCAAGTAGGGCAGGCTGCGCTGGGCAGGTCAAGCCCCACAGGATCCTGGGAGGTGAGAAAACCTTGAGGGGAGACACTGTGGACCATATAAAGTCAGGGACCTGAGGGCAGTGGAGGTGCAGAAAATCAGGAGTAGGGATGTGGGAGCATCTGGAAATGACCCAGCAGGAAAGGAGGCCTCAGAGCCAGGTTTCAGGGGAATCTGATGGGCTGGACTGCAGTCACATTGACAGCTGGAAAGGCAATACAGAGACTCCATGAAGCGGTCAGTTCTCTGCAAAGAGGGGTGTCAGGGGCCATGGGACCCACACACTGGAGGGGCAGCCCCTGGATGTTCTCTTCACTGATGATCATACTTCTTTCTCCTTTTTTTAGACTCACAGAGCTTCTATACTGCACTGCCTGGGGAGAGTGCTGAGTCTCTTTGAGGTGAGTTGAGTTATCCATCCCACTTGGACTCTGAGTTTGATGTGTGCCTGGCCTGGGTGAGCACGAAGAGTACAGTGGCTTCACATTTCCATGCTGCACACCTTTCTGGTGGCCACAAACACCGAGGATGAGGGAGTAAGTGAAAAGCAGCAAAGAAGGGTATCCAGGGTTCAAAGCCAAAGTGCATCCTGTGAGAGGCCATGTGGAGCCAGGCGGAACACCTGAGTGTGCACCCAATGAGGGGCTTATTTGTTTCATGGTTCTGCTATTGGCGAGCCTTTCCCACTCCACTCAGACCTCCCCACATTTGAGAAAGCTTTAACGAGCTTTGTGATTAAGGAACCCCCTCTGCAGCAAGATCAGGGAAGGTGGTGGCTTCTGGTGACAGGTGTGTGTTGACAGTGGCAAGGAGGGGCACTGAGTGTGAGGGAGGAGGTGGAGGAGCCCCAAGATAGCCTCCAACATCACCATCTGGGCAGTTCAGTGTGGAGGACTGGTGCTCCAGTTAGCGTAGGGCCAAGCCAAACACGAACCTGGTCAAGGAGAAAACAGCCTGTGAGGGCAGAACCCAGGAATTTGCTTTCTACATTGCTTATTAGATTGTGTCCCTTTAGAGAAGTAATTTCTACTCCTATTTAGTTAACTCCTTCTTCTTAAAGAGCAATGCATGGGAACACTTAGAGATACCATAGAAAGACAAAGATGGTTAAGTAGGATGGTTTAGCAGAAAGAGAATAAGAAATAATAAACTGTGCTTGAACTTATCAGGATGAAGAGAGAAAGAAGCAGGCCCGAGACCTGTTTGAAGAGTCTGCTAATCAGGGATGTTTGACCAGCTCGTACCTCCTCTGGGAAAGTGACAGACTGACGGATGTGAGTGGACCAGGGTCTGGGGAAAGGAGGAATTATGTTGGCCAAAGGCAGTCTCCAAATTGGCCCTTGGGTGAGGTTGTCAGCACAGGAAGGATCCTCATATATTTCCTTGGGAACCACTGCTCAGTGGGCCACTCTCAGCACTGCCCCAAAATGACCACCTTCGTTTGGAGAATAAAGGGCTTGGGAGAAAGTGCAGTTGGGGACTCTCTAAGGGTGTTGGGAGAACATTTAAGGACCCTGTGGGTTAGTTCTGTATTTTCCCAGAGACATAACCATATAAAGTCATGGTGACTTTCTCCCATTGGCAGATGTCTGATCCTGGACGATGCCTCCACAACTTCCGGAAACTCAGGGACTATGCTGCCAAAGGCTGCTGGGAAGCCCAGGTGAGGTGGGAGCTGGCCTATACCTCCTGGGCTCTCACTCAGGAGGCAATAAGATTGGCCAGGGCTGGAGTCATGTCTAAAAGGAGTTTAGCTCTGGGGTGTGTAGCGAGGAGAGCTTGGAAGTGCTTCCTTCTTCTCTGCCCATTACCACCCTGTTATCTCAAAGCCCATTGCCCCTAAGCCAGCCTCTTAATTTCTAAGTGCTTATGGACTACATCTGCTATCAAAATTCATACCGTTCCCTAGAGTTGTCTTACAGGTAAAGGTAAAGCTTACCTTAGCAACAGGTCTTCAGGCTCCTTAGAGCAGATGGGCATGTGGAGTGCTGTCTGTTCTTGTTATTTGACCTGCTCACCAGGTCGTCCAGTGTCAGAACCAGGACCTCAGGGATTTGTAGTTGGCGTTCTTCAAGCACTCTCCCCTTTAGCTGTAAAGTCGTGGTTTCAAGACAAAGCCAAGTGGGTAGAAGCTCAACCAATCATGTGGATGGTTGAGAGTCATCTACCCTCAAAAGCTAGGAAAGAAATCACAAAGCGGTAGGTGGCTCAGCCTGGCATGTCACAGAACACTGTAATGTTTATATCCAAAAAGGCAGTCAGCAAATTTACAAGACATATGACAATCAACAATGTGGTTATAGTTGAGGCTCAGACTCATCAATAAGAATAATAAGACCCTAATAAAGTCCATAGGGCCTCAGTGCCCTCTGAGAAAAAAGGAAAGGTACACAACTGTCCAAAACACAGCAGCAGCATTCCAATCACTGCTGGTCAAAAGGGCATGCATTTCAATGAGATCACAGCTGATCATATTAGCAAATTATGTATATATATACACACACACACACATATATATATATTTTCGTGTGTTTTTTAGTAGATAGCTAATAACTTCAGAAAATATGTTTGTTTGTTTTAACAATAGCCATTTTTGCTGGCAAACATATAATAAAATGGTGTTCCTACTAGTGGGTGTGAACATCGAGGCCTGCCTTTCAGAAAGCACTTGGACACAAGTAGCAAAATGCTTAACAGAACCGTTCTTGTGAACTGATCACGTGAGCAGACAGGCGCAGATACTAAAAAGGCTACATAACGATGTGCCACAAAACAGTAAAACACATGAGAAATACCTGAAAAGGAAGAACAGGTGAAACATGCTTATAGCTATTTCATTTCCTAAGGAACCATGTTATTGTTAAGTGAGCAAAGAATAGATTAGATGTGTGTATACTGTGATCACAAATGAATATAAACACTGTTACAAATGCATAGAGCCCGGCCGGGCGTGGCTCAGCGGTTGAGCGTCAAGCTAGGATCCAGGCGATCAGGGTTCGATTCCCGGTCAGGGCCATGCCTGGGTTGTGGGCTCGAGGAACGACTCTCTCATCATTGATGCTTCCCTCTCTCTCTCTCTCTCCCTCTCCTTTCCTCTCTCTGAAATCAATAAAGATATATTTTTAAAAAAACAAATGCATAGAAAAATCTGAAAGGAAATACATAGAAATGGTTGATAGTAACCATTTCAGAGCTTAGTGGGTGCTGGGTGGGTTCTGTACAAAGCTCAGTTAATCCTCACATCTCTCTACCAAAGCAGGTGCTGTATGCCACTTCTTGAAAAGGGAAACTGAGGCATAGAACTGTTTCCCCAATTTGCCAGCAGCCACATATAGACCCAGATTTTAAAGTCAGGTCATTTGAGCTTCCAGCCTATTCTTTTGCCACTTTGCTGTGCAGCTTCCAGCTTTCACAATTGGAAGTTGAACAGAAACATACTTAATTTTTTTTTTAAAGTTGCCAAAAGACCTATTGGCTGAGGAGCTGCATCAGGGTGGGAGGGGGACTGACATTTCATTATATACCTTTTATCCTTTTTTAAGTTCTTTATCATGTGACATATTACTTATTTCAAAAAGAATATTAAAATCTGTCATACTGGTTCCAGAAGGCTTAGAAGGCATAAGGAGGGCGAATGTGTATATACATGTCTTCTCCCTCAACAGCTCTTCACATTTGAAATGGAAAACCTCAAAAGCCGCTGCTTTCTGCTCATTCTGCATGTCTTTTCTTCTCAGCTGTCTTTAGCCAAGGCCTGTGCAAATGGAAACCAGCTTGGACTAGAAGTGAAAGCATCCAATGAGATAGTCTGCCAGCTCTTTCAGGCCTCCCATGCTGCTAATAAGCAGGAGATATTTTCCGTGCAGAAGGGACTCAACGACACAATGAGGTGAGGGGTTCAAGCCAAAGCTTCTAATTGGAAGGCAGAGTGACCGCTAGTCTCTGGGGCGAAAGGAGCTGTCCTGTTTCACCTGAGCCACCTGTCACATAGCCTTCTGTGTTGTCAGCCCCACTAGGATCCCCCCATTCACGCACGCGTATGTGTGTGTGTGTGTGTGTGTGTGTGTGTTTTCTAAAACCAGTAATGTCTAAGTTATCCAGGGCTTTGAAGAAAAAACATCCCTCATAAAAAGTGTCTGCTCTCTCCAATTTTCCTTTTGTTTTTTTATATATCTTTATTGATTTCAGAGAGAAGAAAGGAGAGGGAGAGAGAGATAGAAACATCAATGATGAGAGAGTCATTGATCGAGCCCGCAACCTGGGCATGTGCCCTGACCGGGAATCGAACCCCGATCTCCTGGATCCTAGGTCGACACTCAACCGCTGAGCCACACCCGGCCAGGCTCCAATTTTCCTTTTTAAGCCTCAGAACAAGTTAAACTATTTTAAACATCTTTCTAAAATGATGGGATTCATATCCTCAATTTCTGAAGCCCCCAAACCACCTTTTCTCTTTTTTAAAATTTTTTTTGTTTAAATATATCTTTATTGATTTCAGAGAAAGGAAAGGAGAGGGGGAGAGAGAGATAGAAACATCCATGATGAGAGAGTCATTGATCGGCTGCCTCCTGCACTCCCCCGACTGGGGATAAAGTCCGCAACCCAGGCATGTGCCCTGACCTGGAATCAAATGGCGACCTCCTGGATTCTAGGTCGAGGCTCAACTGCTAAGCCATGTAGGGCCAAACTGCCTTTTCCTTACAAGCCATCATTATGAGCATTAACTTGGAGTGTGAAACTCCATGGCTGTCTGAGCCATCCTCACCCAGGAAGCTATGTCCTCTGGGGCAGCTGCAATGCACCTGGCAGCCTGAAACCCTAGTAACTATCCACCTCTTCCTGCAGGTACATTTTCCTCCAAGGTTTAGAGATAAAACACTTCACTTCATATACTCAATCACAGAACATGTTAGTAAAATGGAAAATGTGAATAATTTTGTAAGCTTATGTAAGAGATTTCAAATACATTTGGATTTATAATGGGCAGGCCCTGACTATACTCCAGTAGACAATGCCTAGCATATAGTAAGTCCTCAATAAACATTTATTTTTAGAAGGATCTAGCTTTCCTGGAGATGCTTGATGTCTACCACACAGAGTGAGGGAATGCATTGTCCTTTGATCCCATATTAAATGTCAAAGCTATTGTGCTTTTGAGGCCTGTGGTGGTGGCAGCAGCTTCTCTCCCCTCTCCTGTCCTCTTTCCCCTTTTTCTTTTGGAAGAATATGCTGATAACACCTTGTGCCCCTCTCAGTCTGCCTTTTTTTTTTTTGGACTGTTGCTATTTGGGGAGCAAGGGTGAACAAATTTCACTCTTTTTTTTTCCTTTTTAAGAACTAAAATAATTTTATTGAAATATTAATATAATTTATGCCCTTGAGTTGAGCATCTTTCCATTTTCCTCTGTGCCAAGCAACTGCCAACTTTTTCTTTTTTACTGTGGGGTAATTTACATGTAACATTATACTAGTTTCAGATTTAACCATTTTAAGTATATATTTTGGTTGGTCTGTTTTTATGAGTCAGATCATTAAGCTTGTTAAGTGTTTGTGTAGGAGAGCTTCCTCTTCTGTTTCAATAGTGGCTGGTTTAAACCTCAAACATCTGACCTGACGCTCATGCTGTCTTCCTCCTTCTGGGAGAAAATAGAGACTTGTCTTCCTCCTTCATCCTTCCCCCCTTCCATTCTACCTCCATTGCTTCCCTTCTCCTTCCATTCCACCACTTTGACCCATCTTTCCCACCTTCCCTCTGCATTTAAGAGATGCTTCCATTCTGGCAGACCCCAGGATCCCATCCGTCCGTCTGTGCAGAATCCTGTAGTATCACGCTTTTCCTCTTTCCTATTTTCTGCGTCCCCTCTCCTTTGTTCAGAAAGGCATTTACCATACTCTGGTATTCTTGCCATTGCACACAGCATTCCTTTGTGGTGTCTCTGTCCCTGACCCCAGGTCTTAGCCCTCTCAAGGAAGGACCCCATGTGCGTCCGCTCTGGGCTGTGTGCACCATCAGGGTTGGTGGGTGACTAAGAAAGTCTCTGCATCCTGCTTTAGTTGTGTTCTTGGCTCTTGGCTCCAGTACAGAGGGTTTTGGTAAATGACCCCACAGGTTAGCTGCACAAGGGCCGAAGCTCTCATACCTTTGAGTGTCTTTTCTCTGGTCCTGGAGTCTGTGATCTGCCCCCTCCCTTACCTTGCCCCTTACCTGAGTATCAGGGCTTTCTAGTGTCTGGGGGACTCTAGGGGGGAGGCAGGGACACCTGAGTCCTAGAAACAGTCAGGAGATATGGGGCCTCCTCAGCCTCCTTGAATATGGCATCTCATCCTGGGACATTCCTGGGTAAACCAATGCTACAGATGACCGGCTGTCTCCCGCGGGACAGATGGGCCATCTGGAATGGGAAACCAGACACTCGTGAATGCTTCGCTCTAGTGTTCAGGGGTGGTGTTCTTCCCAAAGGTACATTCTAATCGACTGGCTGGTAGAAGTCGCCACCATGAAGGACTTCACAAGCCTATGCCTTCATCTGACCGTGGAGTGTGTGGACCGATACCTACGGAGGAGGCTGGTGCCCCGGTACAGGCTCCAGCTGCTGGGCATCGCCTGTATGGTCATCTGCACCCGGTAAGAAGCCCCCCGTGGCCATGCCTGCAGGACAGTGCATAATGTGCTGGCCATGCCCTAGTTCATGGGCTGGCTTTTCAGTGAAATAAAGCTTCAGTGTCCCACTTTGTTAGCTGGGGGTTTTAATTTTAGGGAGTGCCCAAGCCACGTAGTCCTCTCCACACAGGGACAGCAGACCTGATCCTGGGTGTGTCAGTGGCCACTCATCCCAGCATATGGTCTCGGGACCCAGAATGTAGCCTTGTTTGGTCAGGCTCAGGCTGAACCCCACTTCCTCTGGCACCTGAGGATGATTCAACGAGGAGGGAATGTCACAGTCCTCTAGCCAAGATCACAGAAAAACTGCTTGTTGGCAGTCAGGTTCCCAAGAATGTTTCTCAAGTATGTGTCATCAGAGACCTATAGTTAGTGGGTCTCACATCTCCCACCCAACTCCCCACAGACCCCACTCCAACCACACGGACAGGGCACATCCTCCCCACATAGCAGCCTTAACCCCTGGCAGCTCTGACTTTTCAAGCTGTACCATCATTTTTTACCTAAATCTACTGTCCTTTAACAAATATCTGTCTACCTAGTTTTGCCTTTGGAAGCAATATGTATGGTGATTCCCACCATACATTTTGTATTTTCTAGTTTTCCTAAAATATATGGTCTGCCATTTCCCCTGGGCAGACCAATTGTCCTTATCTGCAAGGCTTGGGGGAATGAGGAACAGGCTCCTTGCACACAGTGGTGTGAACTACAGAGAGGTTGATTTCTTTTGCACAGTAACCCTAAGGCAGAAGGTCCAGGTTCATCATGTAATTGGGACGGCGTTTCTGTTTCATGAGGTCACAAAGGAGCCCCAGTTTCTGTCTTACTCTCTGCCACCACCATCCCATGACCCCTAAGGTCGCCATGTCCTTTGTAGCAAGCTCAGCCACATGGCCACATGTAGAACTAGAAAGCATGATCGTATGACATACAGGTGGAGGGAGTGTGGGCTCAGGGTTAGCAAGCAAACTGCCACACGCTGTCTGGGCCCCTCAGTATTTCAGGTCTTCTCACCAGAGAGGGCTGAATAGACTGGACCCCTGCCTCCTGTGTCTAGGTGCATACTTACATCCTTGCCATCAGAGACCAAGTTGGACCACAAACAGACTAGCAGTGCTAATTGCTTTAAAAATTTTTTAGAGGCTGAGATACCCCCACCTTTGCTTTCAAAGCAGCACTTGCCATGGCTCCAAGCACAGGGCTCTCATCAGCCCCACTTGTACCTCATCTTTTCAGCACCTGTGGTCCCTGTGCCTCAGTAAATGTGGGAGCTGCAGAGTCTTAGGACAGAGCGGTTATAGGGTTGTCCCCGGTCCACCCTCACCAGGGGAGGTGCCCTCAGCAAGCCACTGGACCAGTGTGTTCACTGATAGTTGGCACTCATGGAGAATAGATAACAGGGTAACCACCTGCCTAAGGAACAATCAGAATTCCAGTGGCCTGTTTAAAGGTTTGCTGTGCACAAACCTTTAAACAATCTCTAGCTCAGTTCTGCTGGGTCACCTGCCTCCTGGATTTAAGCCATTTATACTCACTGTAGAATCTGGCACAGATCCCCCTCACTCGCTAAGAGGATTGACCAATCACGTCATTCATGGATGCCTTTTTCAGAAACATCTATGTGCCCGGTGATGCAGCCACTCATGCTGGTCTGTGGCACTAATCCCTCTTTCCAGCTCCTCATGACAGGATTATGTGACCTTTTCAGTTCCAGTCCGTAGCTACAGGCACCCAGGTCTACTCTTTGACACCCCTGCCTAAAGTGAAGCCTAAAGCCTGTTACTGAAGCCTAAAGTGATTGCCCCACTGAGGGAATTAAGCTCAACTCTCAGACCCCATCTTGATATTCCAGGTTCATCAACAAAGAGATCTTGACAATCCGAGAAGCTGTGTGGCTCACAGACAACACGTACAAGTATGAGGACCTGGTGAGGATGATGGGAGAGATCATTTCCGCCCTGGAAGGGAAGATTCGAGTAAGTGGCCTTTTGCTTTTTCCTTGTAAATCAAAGTAGAGGTCACATGAGGGAGTGGCAGGATTTGAGAGCAACCTCATGACGTTGAGCTTTTCTGCTCTGAGAAGTCCTGGACCCAGAGGTCATCTTGTCACTGCATGCCCTGGCATCCAGCCTGATCATCAGTCATGCCAGACCCTGTGCTGGGCCAGCCTCCCTGTTCATTGGGTGGAGGAGCTCTCTGTGTGCTGAGACCCATGTCTGCCTCCTGGTTCTGTCTAGGTCCCTACTGTGGTTGATTACAAGGACATCCTGCTGACGCTGATCCCTATGGCACCAAGAACCCAGCACCTGTGCAGCTTCCTCTGCGAGCTCTCCCTACTGCACACCAGCCTTGCCGCCTACTCCCCAGCCCACTTGGCTGCGGCTGCCCTGCTGCTAGCAAGGCTGACACACGGGCAGAGTAAGGATACTGTCCTTCAGGCCAGCTGCTCAGCACAGGCTGAGCCAGAGGCCTGGGTAATTCTTGGAGTCAGGAGACAATGCTCAGATATAAGTGGGGAGGGGGAGAAAAAGAATCAGGCCCACCTCTCCTGGAGAAGAAAACACCAGAATGGACTAAAAGCCATTCTCTGGGGGCGAGGTTAGGGATGGTTCTAGCTTAAGTACAGGGGTGGGCAAAAGCAGGTTTACAATTGTGAATATGCAAAACACAGTGTTTATTCTTATATTATTGTTTATTAATTATTGTATTATTTTCCATATGAACAACTTAAACCTACTTTTGTCCATTCCTGTATTTCCCACACTGTTGACAGTGAGCAGGCATGCTTTGTATGTGGGGTCTTTGCAACCCTGAGCTCCAGGAAATGCCACAACAGAACTATCTGGGTTGTAGGTATGAGTGGGTATCAGAACAGCTTTTCTGACACCCACCATTCCTGCTTTTCTCCCCAGCACAGCCCTGGACCACTCAGCTGTGGGACCTCACTGGGTTCTCCTGTGAAGACCTCATACCCTGTGTCTTGAGCCTTCACCAGAAATGGTGAGTCTATAAAAGGAAATGGGTTCTCTCACCCTACTTTTGCCACAGAGGCCATATCCTCAAGTATGGGGGGAAAGGGCTCTAATGGGAGGGCCATCAGTCCACACAGACTTTCCCTATAGTGAATTGTGTGTCTCAGACATTTAAACATTCCAAGTCCATGTTGCTTATTTCACTTGATGCGTGTGCAGTAGTAGCTTCTCCCAACCCAAGCCAAATTCTGCAGGCAGCAGAACTTAATCATGTGCTGGAAAACTGTGGCCCTCAAGCACATACCTGGCTGCAGCCCATCTCAGCTCAGCTTGCCATCTCTCCTCCCATTCCTTGGCCCACTCACTCTGTTCCCCACTCCCTCCCTACCACGTGCATATCTACTAAAGCCCCCAGTGACCTCCTTCCTCCACAGGCCATGCTGCCTCAATGTCCCCTTCCCCCAACACAAGAATCTTGGTAATTCCAGCTTTCTGCTTATCCTCATGTGTCCCTGGAAGATGTATCCATTTCCAGGATTCAGAACACATCTAAACCTGGAGCCCCAGGCCCCCCTGCCAGCTTATCCAAGTCAGAACCCCTCTCTTCCTAGGGCCATTCCTCCTCATAGATTACATTTGGTGCTCTGTGGACAAGACCCTGGTCATCCTAGCAGAGACCTCAGGCCAGCTAGTTGTTGGTTCTCTGTTCCTGCATCCCAGGAGCTCTAAACGCCAATACACTTTCTTTGTACATCTTGGGATCTGATCCCTTCAGTCTCCACTGCTTGCCCATGATCACTCCCCTAGCCACCTCCTATATGGCCTCTGAGCATGTTGCTTCTGCTTATACTTTCTGGGATGAGATCAGACAACTCCAGCATGGCCCCAGATCCCTCTAACAAGCCTTTGCTTCTCCCCACTCTCTGCTGTGCTTCAACCTTTGGAGGAACCTGTTAGCATTTTCTGGGGTTGACATGGACTTCAGCCACTGTTTTCTCCTGAGGTGCCCAGACCTCAAAGCTGATGGACTGGGGGTGCAGGGGACAGACAGGTCAGCATGTGTCTGACCCCATGGTTGCTCACACCAGGAGTGCAAGTAGTCATTACCTGGCTACCAAAAGTTATTGCTAGGCTGTCCACCATTCTCCAGGTTTTTTTCTTCCAAACTAGATAAATTGGAACCATTTCTTTTACAAACTGAACTTTTTTTAAGTGTACAATTCAGCAGGCTCTCAGTATATTCAGAATTGTGCAGCCATCACCACAGTCAATTTTAGAATAGTTTCACCACCCTCAAAAGAAAAACTCTGTACTACCAGTCAAGAAGGCGGTGTAGATAAATGCGGTACTTGCTTCTGCCCACAACCACATCAAAATTACAACCAACCTACAGAACAACCATCATTGAGAATGGCCTGAAATCTGGCTGAATGGAAGTCCTACAACTAGGGAATTAAAGAAGCCACATAGAGACTGGTAGGAGGGATGGAGACACAGAGTAGGCTGGTCCCACACCCACAAGTGGCGGATAAAAATTGGGAAGGATATATCGATTGAAGAGATCACACTTGAGGAGTGAGGAGTCCAAGCCCCACACCAAGCCCCCAGCCCAGATTTCCAGTGCCAGGAAGAGAAGTCCCCATAACTTCTGGCTGTAAAAACCAGCAGGGATTGAGACTGAGGGAGATAAGGCTACTGGAGTCCCAGGCAGTTCCTCTTAAAAGGCCCATTCATGGACTTACTCAGACTCACTCCCTCTGAGCTCCAGCACTGGGGCAGCAGTTTTAAAGGTACCAGAGACATACAGGGAGAAACTGGAGCTGGCAGCGGCAATTTTCTCCCAGATGAGCCCTCCCCCAAAAGAGCCATCAGGCAATTGCCATATCTGAGACTCCATAAGCCTGGCTCACACTGTTTGCCCTGCCCTGATGATTCCCTGAGGCCCCTCCCCACCCAACTTTCAGACCCACCCAAGCTGTTTCCTGTGGTTTTTCCATACAAATGGCCTGTCTTGGCTCATACTTCAGATTTTTCTAAAATCTCTCAGCTGTGCCCCATACATCTCACTAAGTGGCTCCAGGCCCAGCACTAGCAACAGCCATCTGCAGATTGCTTTGTAGCTCATGCCAGGTGGCCCTAGGCAGAACACAGGCAGCGGCTGACCTTGGTCTGCACCTCATGGGAGGTCCAAGAGCCAGCACACGCAGTGGACAGCTTCAGACCAGGTCAAAGCATCATCACCCAACCACCGCCACAAGCAACACACTCAAGGGGCAGACTTGGTGGGCACCAGAGCCCCACTGAAGTAAGTCCTACTCTGTGGGGTGAACCCCTGCACAGAGGTTGCTGGTTACAGCCAGTCCTTGTAGCTGATTGTCGTAGGGGTAAGTCCCTCCCATTGATGTGCCAATAGCAATCAAGGCTCAGCTACAAGAGGACAGTGTACACAGCCCACACAAGGGGGGTACCTCAAGTGCCCAGCTTGGGTGATTAGGGTAGGCTGTGCCACTAAACTCTACAGGATACCTACTACTTTAGTTCCCTCTACCAAGCCTGGGAGATGTAGCAGCTCTACCTAATACATAGAAACAAACACAGGGAGGCTGCCAAAATGAGGAGACAAAGAAACATGTCTCAAATAAAAGAACAGAAAAAAACTCCAGAAAAAGAACTAAACAAAAGGGGGATAAGTAATCTAGATGCAGAGTTCAAAACACTGGTTATAAGATAATCAATTAACTTAATAGCATAAAACCTCAATAGCATAAAAAAGGACCATACAGAAATGAAGGATGCACTAACTGAAATGAAGAATAATTTATAGGAAATCAACAGTAGAGTAGATGAAGCTGAGAACCAAATCAACAATTTGGAATATAAGGATGCAAAAAACATCCAATCAGAACAACCAAAAGAAAAAATTTTCAAAAATGAAGATAGTGTAAGGAGCCTCTGGGACAACTTGAAGCGCACCAACATTCACATCAGGGGGGTGCCATAAGGAGACAAGAGAGCGCAAGCAATTGAAAACCTGTTTGTAAAAATAATGACAGAAAACTTCCCTAACCTAGTGAAGGAAAATAGACATACAAGTCCAGGAAGCCCAGAGAGTTTCAAACAAGATGAACCCAGAGGCCCACAGCAAGACACATCATAATTAACATGCCAAAGGTTAAAAACAGAGAGAATCTTAAAAGTAGCAAGAGAAAAGCAGTTTGTTACCTACAAGGGACCTCCCGTAAGACTGTCAACTGATTTTTCAATGGAAGCTTTGCAGGTCTGAAGGGATTGGCATGAACTACTCTAAGTGATGAAAAGCAAGGCCCTACAACCAAGATTATTCAGCAAAGCTGTCATTTAGAATTGAAGGGCAGATAAAGAGTTTCCCAGTCAAAGAAAGCTCAAGGAGTTCATTACTACCAAACCAGTAAATGTCAAAGGGTCTTTTTTAAGAAGAAAAGGCAAGATAAAAAATATGAACAATAAAGTGGTAAATACATATCTATCAATAATTGAGTCTAAAAAACAAAATGAACAAGCAAAACAAACAGACTCATAGATTCAGAGAATGTTTTGCCGTTTGCCAGATGGGAGGGGGTGTTGGGGGGATGAGTGAAAAGGTGAAGGGATTAAGAAGTACAAATTGGTTATTACAGAATAGTCATGGGGATGTAAAGTACAGTATAGGGAATATAGTCAATAATCTAATAACTGTGTATGGATCACTTAGTAAGTTATGTAATATCTAATCATGAAACTAATATAATAATGTATGTCAACTATAATTGAAAAGTAAAAATGACTTTTAAATGGGGCGGGGGAAAAACAAAAACCTGCATCCCTTACCTGTATTACCCCATATTTCCCCCTCTGCTCCAGCCCTAAACAAGAATTCATCTACTTTCATTGTCTATAGGTTTGCCTGTTCTGAACATTTCATAGAAATGGAACCATACAATATGTGGCCTTTTGTGGCTGGCCTCTTCCACCCTCATATTTTCCACTGTAATAATGTTGTGTTTATCATTGTGCACTGATGGACATTTTAGCTATTATGAATCATGCTGCTGTGGACATCCACAGACAAGTTTCTGTGTGAACGTGTGTTCACGTTTTTCTTGGGGATACACTTGGGGTTGGAATTGCTGGATCATAGGTGATTCTAGGTTTAACTCTGTTAGGAACTGCTAGACTTTTCCACCGTGGCACCCTGTTTTACCTCCCATCACTGGACTGTTTTTGAAATTATGTTATCCCCTCATTTCAGTGAGGGGTGCTAAAAATGGGAGTCTCTTGGGCTGGGGAATGCTGATAATACCTACCTTGGAGCCCTCTCCCTCCCCCGCTATACCTTATGTGTCTGTCCCTCTGTTTGCAGCTTCCATGATGATGTCCCCAAGGACTACAGACAAGTCTCTCTGACTGCTGTGAAACAGCGATTTGAGGACAAACGCTATGAAGAGATCAGCCAGGAAGAGGTGCCACCCTCCTACCCACTCTCCTGGTCGGGGTGGGGACAGGTCCCCGCCTACCCCTCGGGGCCTCTTCTCTCCCTCTGACCCCAGCTTCCTCTCAGGTGCTGAGCTACAGCCAGGTGTGTGCTGCTCTAGGAGTGAAACAAGAGAGCCCAGAACCCACGTCTTTCCTCAGCTCAGGGGACATTCACACCTTTCTTAGCTCTCCTTCTGCAAGGAAAACCAAAAGGTTAGTAAGCCCGATGTCTGTAAGGGTTTGATGCAGTATTGGTTCCTGTGTGCTGGGCCTAGGTTCCCTCATGACCCCTGCAATTGCCTAAGGGACTGCATTACCCCCTTTTACACAGGGGCCTCCTAAGGCATAATGGAGAAGAAACAGATCCTATGAAACTGAAACTGGGTTGAATTCAGGCCTCAGGCCCCTGGGCCTAAGCTGCGCTCTCTGCAGCCCTGTCCTTCTTCCTCCAATGTGCTGTCTTTTTTGCTTTGACTGATACCTTTTGAGAGAAAATGGGCTTCAACACAGGTGAGCCCAGCTCAGGCTCTGGCTCTGCTATGCCCTGTCATATGTCACCCTCCCTGGGCCTCTACTCCATGGTGTTGCTGGCACTCCCTACACTCCAGCTATAACCTAATTAGTGTCCTCAGCACCTCCCTTGCTAACCCTCATCTCCACCCTACTCTCCTATGTGTATCCCATTTACTTCTGTCTCTTCCATCTCAATGTCTTGGCTGTACCACCTGGAATAACTTCCCTTCTCCGCCTCACCCATCTGAAGAACTCTTATTGATCCTGCAAAGTCCACGTGAGCCAGGACTCTCACTGCACCTCTGGCCTTGCCTCTGGAACTCCAAGGGCAAGCACTGGGTGGCTGTGTTGTCTCTATCACAGCACACTGGGGCAGGGTGGGCAGGTGCCAAGGACCTAACACTGCTGCCTGTGACTGGGTTCCTGGCTCCTCCACATCGTAGGAAGCGAGAAAATAGCCTACAGGAGGACAGGGGCAGCTTTGTCACCACGCCCACTGCAGAGCTGTCCAGCCAAGAGGAGACACTACTGGGCAGCTTCCTGGACTGGAACCTGGATTACTGCTCTGGCTATGAGGGCGACCAGGAGAGCGAGGGCGAGAAGGAGGGCGATGGTGAGTCCTGTGGCCAGGAAGCCACCCAGGGGCTATGCCAAAGGGGGCAGTGAACAGAAGGGCAGCTCTCATTGAGGGCCCCTGGCTTTACCTGCAGTAGAAATGTCCAGACACAGGTAGACATGTGAAAGAGCAGAGTCCCTAGTATACCACAGCAGGCGGTTGGGGGAAAGGAATTAAGCCAAATGTGTGTCCAGCTTCAGCCAGGCCTGTGTTGGTGGAAGGGCCTCACCAGGGCAGGAGAAGAGGAGGAAATCTTGCCTGGAGTTTACCATAAAATTTTTCTAGAACATTGTATGAGATGTGTCCCCCACTGCCCTGTTCTGCTCTGTGCCTCACACATTCCTCTAGGGTCCAGGGGAGGTTGCAGGGGTCTCTGTCCCCATGTTTTCAAGCAGCCGTCTACATAGAAAACACAATTCAAGCAGTTTCTGTCAATTTCCCAATTGTCTGCTTTTGTGTCCATTCAGAGAATTAAGTAAATTATTAGATCACCAGTTTGTTTTCACTTCCTACTATTCCCCAAGTCCTATTGGGTGCCTCAAGTTTGAAGGAGGCACTTCACCCTCTATTCCTTAACCCAAAGGAAATCAGTACAGGGGACTGTCTAGCGAGATCCAGCACTTGTAGCCAAGAAGGCTGGGTGAGAGCTGGAGCCTAGGCCACCAGGGTTCTAACTGGGCAGGGGGTCACGCGGATGCTCAGTCTGTGGCCTGTCCTCTCCCCTGACTTCTCCCGTAGTGACGGCTCCCAGCGGTGTCCTTGATGTCACTGTGGTGTACCTCAACCCAGAACAGCACTGCTGCCAGGAATCTAGCGATGAGGACGCCTGCCTGGAGGACGAGGGATGCCAGGACCTGCATGCTATGGTGCCAAGCACCCGGACACCTCTGGCCCTAGGGCCCGAGCTCCCTCTCTGTGGCAGCAGGGAACTGGGCAAGGACATTACAACCTCAGGGTACTCCTCCATCAGCAGCGTGAGTCCCACAAACTCTGTGGATGGTGGCCCTCCCCAATCTACCTCAGCACCTTCCCCAGGCAGTGACTTGAACACACTGCCTTGCCATCATCATGCCAGAAAGTCGTGTTTACAGTGCCGTCCCTCAAGTTCCCCAGAGAGCAATGTTTCCCTGCAACAGGTGAAAAGGAAAAACCTATCTGCCCCCAGCAAGGAGGAACAGGACATGAACTTGGGCTTCCTGAAACTGTGACTGTGTCAGTGTATGCAGCAGTGCATGCGGAGAGAGAGCTGCTGCTGCACTAGCAAGAAGTGGGACCTCTGGAAGTGGATGATGTGTAGACCCTGGTGGCCTCAAATGGGGAACAGAGAGAACTCAGGGAAGGCACTGAGTGTCTTTCACCAGGGGTGTCCCATTTGAGTCATCAGTATGTCTAAATCAGAACAAAAACTCAGATTCTTTTCTTTGAAGCTTAACCTTAGAGCAACACCGTGTGAAGCCTGTTTCTTTGTGCCCTCCCTGTGTCTGTCCTGCTTTCTCTCTGGGAAGCTTAAGCCCATGGCCTAGTAACCCTAGCCTCTCTGAACCCCCATTCCTGTAGCAGACAGCATTCACGACTGAGAACATATGTGATCCAGGTAACCTGGCACAGCTTCCCTCCTCCCCGCATCTCTGGTTTTAGGTTCTAGGGGGAGCTGAGAGCTCTGAGCACAGGTCTGTCCCCAGGCCTTCCTCAGCCTGCCTGGATCATCTACTCCCTCACAGGGCAGAGGGCCCCATGGTCAGGGGCCCCTGCCCTATGCATTATCAGGGACTGCATGTGATGACCAGGCATGAGGGCCCTGACTTTTTGCTGGCCAGGGCCTTGATGTCTTAGTCATAGGCTCCCTCCCTCCCATATTCCCAGCTCATTTTATTTTTTTTTTTTATTAAATATTGATATTTAGAGAGAGAGTAAGGGAGAGGGATTGAGAGATAGTAACATCATTCATTGGCTGCTTCCTGCACACCCCTTACTAGGGATTGAGCCTGCAACCTGGGCATGTGTCCTGACTGGGAATCGAACCAATAACCTCTTGGTTCATGGGTTGACACTCAACCACTGAGCCACACTGCCCGGGCCCAGCTTATTTTAGAAATCTGTCCCTCCTCCCAGAGTGATTTGTCTGTGTCCCCAACAGACCGTGTCCATATGAACATCTCTTTTTGTGCTGAATTTCTGGGCCATTTCTTTTCCTGTATTTTTATCCTTCATTCTTCTAAGATGAAAACAAAAGAAAAATTTTAAATAGAAGGTATTAAAAATTTAAAAACAAGGGATTCTTAACATTATTTAGACTTGGCTAAAGAAAATCTGATTCAAACCCCTCAAAGCTATCCTGATACTGTTTATGGAAAAAGAATTTTCCTAGAGAGGTTAGCCAGGGGATAAAACACAAAACAAAACAAAAAATGGCATTTGTAACATAAGGTGGCCCAGATGCAGAAGAGCAAGATTCAGAGGACCAGTCCCTGCCTGCTGGGCAAGGGTGGGTCTGCTGTGGGTTTCTGAGAATAACTAGCTGAGAAACTCGGACTCCGCTCATGGGGGCGGCAGCCAACACACCTGAGAGATCTGCCCAAGAGTAGTGACCATGACCTCTCCCCAGTGGGGTTGACCACTGACACACTTTCCGTGCTGTGACAACTTTTGTTTCAAAATGTCAGAAAGAACTACTTGACAGGAGTGTCCCCAAAATGCTCTTGAACCAGAACTACAGGGATATGGAGATGCTGACTCAGTGGGGGCGTGTGTGTGTGTGTGTGTGTGTGTGTCCCCATGGGAGCTGTCTTTGCTACTGTAAAATAATTCTGCAGCATTGTGCCCCTGGACATGTGTGAACCTGTTTCCTCACCTGTAAGATGGAGCAATAATACCTACCTCACAGGGATGTTGTAAAGATTAAATGTGATGAGGATAGTGGAAGCTGAGTGATGTGCATATCTGTACTGCCTTCTTGTCACTTCCTACTGTCACCCAAGTCACACTGGGGCACCTGTCCATGGCCCCTTATCAAAATCCCGACTCTCGGTGGACCTGGTTCTCTGCCTTCTCCCAGCCTACACCTGTAGGAGAAAACTACTCCTGTGGAACCTAACACTCCATGACCATAGTGTGGAGTCTCCCTGCATCTTCACAAGTTCTATCACCTCAGTGCCCTGTGACTGGTGTGCTGAAGGAAGCATTTCCCCCTCCCCTCCTACCTCACAGAGAATCTCATATTTGGCAGGAATGGCATCAGCCTCCCCACATTAGGCATGAAAACAGGCCACTGCAGATGGAGAGATCACCCTAAGAGCAGTCCCAGGGCTGCCTGAGTCCCCAACCCCTTTACGTCTATGCCTGGTCCCCTCAACTCCCCTCCGTTTCTCTCTCGCCTATGCTGCAGCATTTTTCTATTAGTGATTATAAAATGGACAGCTCTCCATCTTTATTTATTTTTAAAAATACATCTTTATTGACTTCAGAGAGAGGAAAAGAGAGGGAGAGAGAGAGATAGAAACATCAATGATGAGTCATTGATCAAGCCTGCAACCCGGGCATGTGCCCTGACCGGGAATCGAACCCCGATCGCCTGGATCCTAGTTCCACGCTCAACCACTTAGCCACGCCCAGCAGGGCAAGCTGTCCATCTTTAAACAGCCCCCCCTTCCCCAAGATTGGCCATCCTTTGGGCTATCCCAATATCTCTGTTCTTTTCTCCAGTTACATTGGGTCTTGCTGTCAGCATCACTCCTCCCACCCAGGGGGTTCCCTTAGTCAATGAAGACCCCATTCGCCGTCCCTTGGAAGTCAACTTAGTACAGCCTCCCATTGCTGTTTTGACACCGGGCTCTGCTGTCCCTCCACCTCTCTGGGCTCCAGCTCTCCTTCCGTCACCCATTCCTCACCTGTTCCTGTCCATGCACACCTGCCCCACCTTGGACCATCTTGCTTCATCCCTCTCTGCCCAGATGCCTCCTCTGGATGTCATCACCTCACCAGTATGTCCAAAAGTGAACACTCCCTCCTTCCTCAGCCCCGTCCCCAACGCGCACTTCATCCTCTAGAGACTGTTGCCAGTAAATATGGATTGGTCCCCTCCCGGGGTCAGCAAGCCAGGTCTGCCTTATTAAGAGTGCCTTCAATAAGAACAAAGAAGTGATCACAGATGCCACCAGCTACCCAGTTACCCACAGCAGGAGCCTGCGAGGCACCCCAGGTCTGTTACACGAAGCCTTAAGGCCTGGATCAGGGAGTAAGAGGGCCCCCAGTAGCCTGAGCTGTAGGAGGGGCGAAGGGGGAGGGAGGAGGTCCTGAGCTCTGGGCTCCGGATTGGGTAGCCCTGCCGGAAGGGGGCGGTCTTGCAGCCCGGAAGGGGTGGGACTTTCACCGGCGGCAAATCCGGTAAACTAGCTTCGATCTTCATGCTGCCGGTCGGCTGCTCGCGCCGGTGAGGCCCGTGCCGCGGAGGGAGCCGGGACGGGGGCGGGAGCGAGCGGGGCTAGACAGGCTGGCCCGGGTGCTGAGCTGCCGGTGTGTCCTTCTCAGGCTGGTGGCCGAGTTGCAGAATGCCCTGGACACCTGTGCCGAGCGACAGCGGGAGCTGGAGAGAAGCCTCCGAGTCACCCGGCGGCTGCTACGGACCTGGTACGCGGACCCCGGGACCACCGGCTAGGCCTCCCTCGGGCCCTCAGAGCCCCGGGCCAGGAGGCCTGGCCCAGCACCCACTTCCGAGTTGCTGGTTGTCGGTACTCCCTCTGAAGGCTCTGAGGCTGGGGTTTCGCTTTGAAGCCAGGGGGGCCCCCGTGGGGTCTGTTGGGCCTGGGCCCTGCCTTTTGGCCGTGTCACGGCTGCCCTGTGTCTTCACAGGGAACCAGCGGAGACCCCGGCTCCAGAGCCAACGCCAGGTCCAGAAACTAATGAAGAGGCCCCGTCTCCAGGTAAACCTTAGCCGCCCACCTCCAGCAGCTGCCCCTGGCATGTCGTCTTGGATGCAGTGAGGGGCCCTCCTGGGGGACAGCGATGAAAGACTACTACATGTCTTGGCTTTGCAGCATGCACACCCAGCCCCCAAGATCTCAAGGAGTTGGAGCTTCTAACCCAGGCACTGAAGAAGGCTGCACACGTGCGAAAAGGCATGTCTAAGGCTGGAGAAAGAGGCAAGACCTCCAGCCTGAAGTCTGGGTCCATTGCCACTTCTACTGCTACCATAGCCTCTGCCCCACCCCAGGCTTCTCAAACAAAATCCCCCAGGGGCATCCGCCAGACCACCATTCCTGCCAAGGGCTTCCCTACACGTAGGCTTCTGTCAGCGAGGGATCAGACCTGCATAGGGAGAGGACCCCAAGCTGCCAAGCCTGGACCAGGCCTCAGGGACCAACAAATAGTTCCATCGGCTGCTCCTCAGGCCCCAGAAGCTTTCACACTCAAGGAGAAAGGGTAGGTTTCCCAGAACCTCACTGGAAGAACTGCCCTCTACCTGATCAGACCCTAGCCAGCAGCTGGAATCTGGGATTTGGGGTGACAGGGAGGTCAGGGCATTGAGGTGGATGTGGGTTCTGGAGTGCCACTTATGAGGCCTATGCCCTGAAGCTGGTAGAATGGAACAGCTGGCTGTGAATGTGTGGGGTTTGATATGCTAGGACCTGTCACACTCTCTTCCCTGACTGTCCAGTGCCCTTTTATCCACCCAGCCCAGGGACTCCAGATAGTCTCTGCTTATGGTAGCTTCTCTCTGCCAGGGCAGACCTGGACTGGACTGGCTCCCATGGTCACTCTGAAAGCCTTGTTAGATGGGGAGGTTGGTTAGCCTCACTCCTAACTGGGCTCTGAGCAGGGAGCAGCAGGGTCTGCAGCCCCAGAATGAGGCAAGGCTCCTCTGAACACTGGCTTCCCTGACAGGACCCTGCTGCAGCTGCCCATGGCCTTCAGGAAGGTGGCTTCTCAGAACTCCCGGTGAGGCTGAGTCTTTCGACTGGGTGGGGAGGGAATACCAGGGGAGTATGGAGAACAGGGAAGCCAAGGCTTCCCACTAACTCAAGGCCACATTGGTAAGACTTTTCGAGCAGATCCCTCTGCTTTCTTTGCTAGGTGGGGACACTGTATATTAAGAGAGTCTCCCAACTCAGACTGCCATAGTCACCTTAGACTCAGTAGGCTTTTAGGCCCCCAGCTCAGCTGCTTGCTTATAAGGTGCAAGACTTTGGGCAAGGCCCTTAGTGTCTTTGAGTCCTAATTTGTTTTCCATGTGCATGTGATGATAATAGTACTAGCTTTGTAGAGATGTTAAACCGAGGTGGTTCCTTTCAGGTTATGCACTGTACCTGGTACAGAGCCAGCACCCTCAGCCCTTACCAGTTATCCTAGTTACCAGTCACTATTAGCCCCTCTCCCCTTCTTCCTTGAATTATCTCCTGGTATTTCTCAGAGTGGGTCAGCTCTCTGGACAGTGTCCTCTTAGTTCCCCCAAGGCATCCCAGGGCCCCTCCTAGCACTCAGCAGAGCCAGACACCCCAGGCTGGGGCCTCTACGCTGGCCCTTACCTACTTCCTGAGACCCATCCCAGCTGCCTGTAATAATGATCCTTGTCTGGGTCCTGTGGTGCCGGTGTATGCATCCCAGCCTGTGGACCCAGCTCAACTCTTCACAGGCCAGCAACTCCATGGGTTCCACTACGTCCTCTAAAACCCAGTTCCTCCAGAAAATGCAGATGACTGTATCCTTGCTGGATTTGCTGGGGGGTTGGGGAGGAGTGTCTGGTTCTACACCTGGTGAATTTGAGGAGCAGCGCCAGGAAGGCCCAGAACCATTCCTAGGCCCCATCTTTAGGGCTGGTGGGGGGTGGCACTGAACATGGGAGTTTCCCTGACCTGTGTCCAGTCAGGCTGCCCCAGCTCCAGGTTCAGTGCTGCAGATGTGGAGGCAGAGGTGGGGTGCCTACAGAAGGCCTGCTTGCTGCTAAGACTGAGAATGGGGGAAGAGCTCACAACAGGTCAGTGGACCCTGGTATATGTCTTGGGGTGAGGGGGGTGCTGCAGGACCAGCATGGACCCATCCTGCCCTCTCTGACTCTATTGTAGATCCCACAGACTGGATGCAGGAATATCGCTGCCTGCTCACCTTGGAGGGTCTACAGGCCATTGTGGGGCAGTGTCTCCACAGGCTGCAGGAGCTGCAAGGAGGTGAGACCCCACTCTCACCTGTACTAAAGTCTGGTCAGGGGTCAAGGTCCTCTAGCCACAGAGCAGCATTGGGACTTTAATAGCAACCCAAGAGCAGAGGTAGGCAGGCCCTTCCCCCAGTGCATTCTGAGTTCTCCCCAGTTGTCCTATGGGACCAGTCGAGACAGGTTCCCCACCCCCATTCCTTCTCCCAACACACAGAGCCCCACCACTCTAAGTTGTTTGCTTATTTGTCCAGTTATTGAAAAAGTAGCATGTGAGAATCAGAGAGGTGCTGGCAGATGGCTGGCCTAGCCTTGCAAGAGGTGATTGTGAATAATAGGGCTTTATCCAGGAGGCAAATGGAGGCTTTGCAACTTTGTACCCCTTTAGAGGAGTGTGGGGAGGAGGTGCCTGGCTGTCATCCCATAAGGCCACATCCCCCTGTCCTCACAGAAGTGGTGGAACAGCAGCTGGGGCCCTGGCCTAACGGAAGACTCCCCAGGGCCTCATTGCTCTGTGGAAGAGAAGCAGATCCCATCTGGAGCTCCCAGCCGCTTTTCTACTCCAGCACCCGGGAGCTGCAGACCCTAGCAGCCCTCAGGCTTCGGGTGGGCATGCTGGACCAACAGATCCACCTGGAAAAGGTACTTCTAGAGTCAGGGTTGGGGAGTAGGTGACTGGGTGCCAGGGGAACCTGAGCCATGGGGAAGATTCCACATCTGGAGCCTTGTGTGGGCTCAAGAGCCTATTTGCGCTCTTGACAGGAGCCTCTAGGCCTGTGCACTTGCCAGCACTGGGGCAACAGGAGAGAGAAGGGAGCTTTTGGAGGAGGAAGGGGCTGGAGCATGGTGCCTCAAAGCCTATCCTGGAATTGCCCCACCCCCTGGGCCCTCCTTTGGGAGCTCTGGACAGCTATCTGGGACAAGATCTCCCTGCAGCCTTGACCCTGCATCTCCCCCCAGGTCCTGATGGCAGAACTCCTCCCTTTAGTGAGCATGCAGGAGCCACTGGGACCACACTGGCTGGCGCTTTGCCGAGCTGTGCATAGCCTTCTCTGCGAGGGAGGCCAGCGTTTCCTCACCATCCTGCGAGATGAACCTGCTGACTGAACCCTTCATGTGGCTGGGCAAGCTGGTTCTGTGTCTGTTGGGGAGAGCACCCCTTCCCTGGTCAGAATTAAATGAACAGGAATTGAGGGGATTTTCACTGGTAGAGTGGCAGGATTTTCACTGGTAGAGTGGCCTGGGCCAAGATGCCTGTACTCCCCTGGGAAACCAGGTTTCTAAGGGGCAGGAATGGCCCTCTGTCTCTTCCTGAGGAACTAGGTCCCTTCTCACAGCTAAACCTGGTCAGGGCTCAGCTGGGCCCTCCATAGGCTTGGGGAGACAAGAGGCCTATGGGGGGCTTTTCTTAACTACCTCTTTTTTCTCTCACTTTAGACTTAGAAGCTGCTTGTGTGACATTAAAACTACTTTAGAAAGTATATATATATTTACATTGTACCAAGGGGGGATTTGATGTGTGCTTGTTTTATTTTCTTTGTGTTTTTGTTTGCCAGGACTATGTCAAGTATATCTATCAAGAACACTCATATCCCTTCTGTACTATAGGTAGAGGGTAAGGCCACTCAGGGTGGCTGCACTAGGGACTCACCTCATGCATTGGCCCTGGCACAGGTGCCTAGATCTGTACTGGGCTCATTGGAAGACACAAAAGCCACAGGTCTGTATCAGAGTAAGTGGGCACTATATGCCCAGAGCCATCAATCCTGCCACCCATGCCTACCACCTCCTGGGCCATTGCTGTAGCCAGTGTGGGCCCCCCAGCACCGAGCCACCACCAAGGAACAGGCCCTTTACCCAACACCCCTCACCTGCTCCACTGTCACCTCTTCTGGGGCTCCTGCCTCCCCTGTTGAAGGAATCATTGCTTTGGAAGGCAAGAAAGTAGAGGGCAAGGTCAGGGCCTCTGGTTTTAAACCAGTCAGATTTGGGTTTATACTGACTTGTTTGCTGTTATGGGACTTTCAGCAAGATTCTTAAGGACACTGAGCCTTAATTCCCAGTGTTGTCCCCACTGTCATACTGGGGGTAGTGGTTATTAGCCTGGAGCTAGGGTGAAGATAAATGAGATGATGTGAGATGCTTCACAGGGCCGGCCCCTGGTGAGTTCTGGGAGGCTGTGGCATCTTTAAATGAACCTTTACTGAGCACCTATAAGGACCAAGCACAATGCTTAGAGCTGGGGCACTGGCCCTTAGTGTAGATAGTGACTTTGAGACAGGGAGTAACACCGGCCTCTGTCCTGGGGGACCCAGGCCGAAGAGGCAGGCAACTGAGAGCCAGGTGAAGTGTAGCAGATATAAGGAATAAACTGGGCGATGCTGAACCAGCCTCAAGGTGGCTCCAGGTACCCTGCAGGAGGCCCTGCCTATAAAAGGCCCTATCATCAAGCAGGCTAGGTGCCTTGGACATATAGTCCTAAGTCTTGAGGGCTGCTGAGGACCAGATGACAAAGTAGGAAAGGAAAAACCAGGGGCCTCATTGCAGTGAGGGACCTTCAGGGAATGGAACAGCTCCATCCACTGCCCAGGACAGGAACCATGGGGAAGAGGGTACAGAGACAGGAGCATGAGGGACAGCTGGCCACTCCATTGCTGCTTCAAGAGCTGCCCACATGCTTGGATCTTGAACCTTTAATCCTCAGGATGGATTCCACAACCACCATGTTACTGGCCACCCCGGAATCAGTTTCCACCAGAATTATTTCATCCACTGGTTCACTTGTGCACCTTCCTTACTGGACCTTTGCTCCATGAGGGCAGGGGCGCTGTCCACCTTGATCTCTAATCAGGCCCAAATGGGCACCCACCAGTCCTGGAAACTGGTGGTGTCCTCTCAACACCCAGACTTTCTTGGACAGGGAGATGCCTCAGATAGTATGGGGGGATGTCTGGTAGGCCTCAGCATTGGGCACCCAGAGCTGGGGGTAAAAGGAGACTCCTCTCTAGCACCTGCCCTACCAAGTCAGGAGGCAGCAGGGACCTCTCAGCTGTGTCATCTGCCAATCTGCTCTGACTTGGCCAGTGGGAAAGGGAACTGTACTGGCACTCATCCACGAGAGCATGGCCCCCACATGGGCAGCATGAGCGCCCCAAGTCTCAGCCCATGGCTCCCGCAGATTCCCACCCCCGGCCCTGGCTCTGTGCATTGCTCTTGGCCACCAGCTACACTGGGTGGGGGGCTAATCACCTTGCTGCATCCTACGGTTTGGCTTGGCGCCGTGGCCAAACTGATAGGTTCTGCTACAAGACCTTGGCCATCACCTCTCTGCACAGACCCTGCCTGGTCCTGGCCCTGGGCCAGCTGCTGGCCATGTTAGGCCCTGGCCTTGGGCTTCTAGCTGCCGCCTTGCTGTGCTGGCACTCTCGGTTGGCAACAGCAGCCCAGAGGCAGGAGCTGGGAACTCCCTAAGCCCATTGCTTGTGAGAGAGAGGCCCAGTCCCCAGCGAGGTTGCCAGGAGCCTCCTCCTGGACCTTGCCGAGGCTGTGCCACAGGTGGGTTGCAGAAGCCCCCTCCCCAAACCATTCCTTTCAGAACCTTTGGGAGGCCTGGGTGAAGGGGTTACTAAGCCATTTCCCTCCCCTTCCCCAATGATGCTTTTCAGTGTTTCATTTGGCGTGCAGAGCTGACCACAATCACAGAGTGGGCCTGGCTTGAGTGCAAGGCAGGTGAGAGACCTTGCTGGATGGGTGTGCAAAGAGTACAGGGCAGCAGCAGGCCGGGTCTTGGGGTGGCTACCCTCCTTGGAGCAAAGAGCAGTGTGCTGTGCCCCTGCCCCAGATGTCTGTCTTCTCCACTAGGTTGGAAGCTCCTCAAGGCATAACTTGCTTAATACATGTTTGTGTGTTATGTGAACAAGTGCTGGCTTGAAAGCTTCTGGCCGAAACAGCAGGTCCTGGGCTAGGCAGGGAGTCAGTAGGCCTTTTAAAGACCCCAGCTCCCTGACACCTCAGATTGTCAGGCCCATTCCAGCCCTTCCCCAGATAGGTTCCCTGCAAGCCCCCAAACCAGCAGCTGTCACCTTGGGGGTGGGGGTGGGGTGCAGCAGCCTGGGGAATTGTAGATGGGCACAGGGAGGCAGAGCCTCTCCTAAGGTGCCAGGAGGAGGCAGGAGATAGGTGTGAGAAGTCCTACTCGGGGGCTGGGGACAAGTGGCAGAGTCTACAAGGAGCAATGAGCCTGGGCTGGAGGCTGTTGGGAAGGCCCCCCTAACTCCCATCACACCATCTGCCAGGGCTGCCCCAAGGGTGGGGGGCAGAAAAGAGTGTGTAAAAGGCCATTCCAGGGAAGAGACCCAGCAGCCTGCAGCATCCGTAGGGAGCTGGTGGTGCAGCAGGCCCCAAGCTGAACCCCATGAACACTCACAGCAGTCTGAGCCCCATGGGCCTCCTACCCACACTCGAAGCCACCAGATGTTCTGCAGACCCCACTGAGGAGGCTGGGCTGCAGACAAAGCCTCTGAGGCTGACAAATAGGGGAGAGGCTGCTCCCCCTGCTCCCTGCTTCCTCCTGGCAGGAGTCCTGAATTCAGACAGTGAGGGTTTCCCTGGAGGCTTATCTCAAGCCCTGCAGAACTCCTGTGTTGGGCCTGGGCATTTCTCCCCACCATGGCAGCCTGGTCCCTCCTTGCTTCTAAAGATCCCCAAAGGATCTATTGAAGCACCCACTCTCCCACCAGAACTCTTCCCATCCTAGGCAGTGTTTGAGGATGACAACCAGAGGGTCTTGAAGAGGGTGGTTGAGAAGATGCTGTTTTTTAACTTGACCCCTCCTGGAGCAGAATGTGCTTGCACCCTGCCAACTCCCTCATTTGTGCACTGCTCTTTGTTGAAAGGGGCACATTTTCTTTATTGGGAAGTTGAGGAATGGGGTCCATAGCACCTGCTCTGTGGGGCAGGGGAGACCCACAGCCTTCCTGTTGCTGCCAGGGTGAAGGGAGAGGCCAGTAGCCCCTGAGACCCTTCTGGGTGAATCCTTCCAAAGTCTCCCATCATCTCATTAGTCCCTCCACACACACACACACCCCTGCATCTGGGAAAGGGCCTGACCAAGGGTATCAGTCATTCTAGGTGCCCCATCACCGTCTTCCTGCTTCTCCAAGGTCAAGCTCTCCTGCTCTCTCCTCTTCAGTTTCCCCCGGGAAGGTCCTTTCCTCCTGCCCCTCTTCTCCTAAACAGCACAAGGATTCTGCTTCTCTCCACCCTCTTCTTGTGGGTCCTTGCAGTATCTCAGGCCCAGCAGAGGATGGCATTTCCACTAACAGACATACTCATGTGGCATCCTACACTGGCTGCAGGACTTGGCCTGGAGTCAGCCTCCCATCTGAAACTTCAGGCCTCAGAGCTGTCCCAAGTAGGATGTGTTCCCAGGTGGCCTTCCCCTTCTGCATGGGCTCAACCCCTCCATCAAGGACCTCAAGGTGGTTGGGAAGGGCTCTCTGTCCGTAGCAATTCCTGGCCCCTCTTGGCTGGGCCCACTCTCAGCTGCAGCTGCCCCATCCCCAGCTGGTATCCAGGCTACTCAGCTGGGCTTCTGCCTCAGTTCCCCTGCCCAAATCTGCTGGTATATGGGCCAGGCTCAGGGGTACTGACACAGCCATCTGTGACCAGGCCTTCCCCATGGATCAAACCCTACTCCCTACCTCTCCACAGATGACAAAGCCCCTGAACCCCAAGGAAACCTACTACCTAGTTGGCTGTACCCCTCCCCCCATACACACAGCTTCCACTTCCTCCCTGCCAGCTCTGAGAGCTGGGCCCATCATGGTATTGCAACTAGACCCTCAGAGACCCAGGGACAAGAGTTTGGCCTGATCTGGGTGGAGGATGTTAGCCTCATCCCTTAGATGAGCTCAGGCCAGTCCTAGGGATCAAGAATACAGTCCTTCCTGAACATAAGACAGGAGGGACTCAAGTCTGTTGAGCCTTCAGCTCACCAAATCCCCCACCTCACCCCAACCAGGCAATGTTAAATAACAAGCATGTGGCTGAAGAGGAAACTGAGGCTGGAGCAAGTTAAGGAATCTGAACCACACAGCTGGAAATTAGAGCAGGTTGGATTCAAAATAAGACCTGGTCCGAATCCTGGGTTCTTCCTACTAGATCAGACTGCTGCCTTGGGGACATCCCACAGCCTCCAATATGACTGCTTCCCATGCCCTGAGTATGTCCTGTGTGGACATCAGGGAGCATCCCAGCCCGACTTCAGACCTAGGGCCCAGCCTGCCTAATGGGCCTGAGGGAGGAGTCTGCCAGACCCCCGCCCAGCATGTGACACAGCCCCAGGAGCAGTCCAGGCCTGGCTGCGGGCCAAGGACCCTGCTGGGTGGTCCCCCACGGGCTGCGTGGCTGAGCTTTCCCCTCCAGACCCCTCCCGACAGCGCATTCCAGGCTCCCCGGCCCCTCCCCCGCTGGCCCAGCCAGTGTCTGAATCTGCTTCTGATTCCCGCTATGCCGACAAGGCCCCCTCTCCTCCCTTCTCTCCTTCCCGGCCCCAGCAGCCCCGC